GATGAGTTCGTGTCCTTTGTAGGGACTTGGATGAATCTAGAAACCATCATTCTCAGCAAACTGACACAAGAACAGAAAGCCAAACACCGTATGTTCTCACTCATAGGTGGGTGTTGAACAATGAGAACACATGGACTCAGGAAGAGGAGCATCACACACTGGGGACAGTTGGGGGGATGGGGAGAGACAGTGGTGGTTGGGGAGGGAGTGGAGGGTGGGGAGGGGCAACATGGGGAGAAATGCCAGATATAGTATGCACCTAAAGTAAAATTTTTTTTATTCAAAAAAATATATACACTTTTATATCCAGCAAAAATATCCTATAAGAATAAAAACAGTTTTATTTATAATAATCCTCAAAATGGAAACAATCCAAAGGTCCATTAACAGGTTAGTGATAAAATTGTTGTGTATCCATACAATGGAATGTAGTGCAGCAATACAAATAACTGATCGTGGATACAGGCAACAACATGGATGAATCTCAAAACAATTATGCTGAGTAGAAAAATGGATGTTATATGATTTCATTGACCTAAAACTTTATAAAATGCACATTAATGTGCAGTGGCAGAAAGTACATCAATGGTTACCTGAGGAGAAGGGAATGAGGAGAAGTGGAAAGATTACCAAAAGACACAAAAATTGTTGGGAGGCTTGGATACACTCATTGTCTTGATTGCATGATGTTTTCAGTTATATATTTATTTGTCAAAACTTATCAAGCTATACAATTTAAATATGCAGTGGCATCATCTTGGTCACTGCAACCTCTGCCTCCGAGGTTCAAGTGATTCTCCTGCCTCAGTCTCCCAAGTAGCTGGGATTATAGCATGTGCCACCATGCCCAGCTATTTTTTTTGTATTTTTCGTAGAGACGGGGTTTTGCCATGTTGGTCAGGCTGGTCTCAAACTCCTGGCCTCATGTGCTGGGATTACAGGCATGAGCCAGCAGGCCTGGCCATAGCCCTGTTTTGTTCCACCTTTGAGATAAATATAAGATACCCAATCACAGAATTACCCTTGCTTTCTGACAGCATCCGATTCAGAGCAAAGCCCTTGCTCTATAGTCATTTAACAAAGAACCATATCCTATAAGTCCTTTCTAACGCTTTATTACTAACATGTCCCATAGTTCCCTACAGTGTGCAGTCTCCCTTATTGCAAGAAGTCAATAAACTCAACTTTACTACTGTGTTACTGGTGGTCTTTTCTAGCAGGCCATTTAAATTACTATTGATTCAATACTACTCATTATTAATTTATCGATATGCTTAGTAGCTTTGACACAATAGTAACTATTTTATTGTTATAATAGTAATAAGAACAAACATCAAGCACTTAAACAAAAGTTTCTCTTCATATATTATCTCATTGCTGCCTCATCATTTCATGTTTGAAGAAACTGGGCATCCAAAAGATTGAATGTGTGAAAGGAAAATATATCTCAGGACCTCAAAATCGCTAAGCCAAAGGGAAAAGTCATGCTAGGAACTGCATCAGGAAAACCTGCCTCCCATTTTATTCCTAAATAAGATAGCTACAAAGGTTTTTTTTTTTTTCTTCTTTTTTAAAGCTACCTAGTTCCCTTACAATTTGCTTACTAGGAAATTCCTTGTGGGCCCCAAGATCTTTACCCTAAAACGGTTCTGTTGAATTTTGCCGTGACAATGTAAATTGATAGCTTATCTTCACAGGTATAGGACAAAGGACAGAACTCAAAGTCATCCCCCTGCTCAGCTGAAAAAATACTTATCTGACCGCTTTTTCTGATGTAAAAATGCAGATTCACTGAGCTAGAGGAAGGCATAAGTGACTATTCCTCTGCCTTCTTCTCACATATAAATTGTGTATTCCATGAAAGGCTGATCAAAGACTCAAAGGAAGGCATCTGTTTGTCTCTCATCTACCCAAATCTTTTGAAAATTTCTTCTTCTTTTCCCAATACCTATCCTTTCCCCTTTAAATACTGAAGCCCTCAAAATCAACTTTGCAGAAGGCACAGGCCTACCTCCTGGGCACATGTCTTTAACCTTGGCAAGATAAACTTTCTAAATTTATTGTGATCTCTCTCAGATACTTTTTAGTTCCCAATCAATTGTCCAAAATCCCACACCTAGTAAAAATGTCAAAGCCTGATTCAAGTCCAAGCTGGCTCACTCTGAGGTGCATGTAGTGTTCAGTAAGGAAAATAGAAACCACATTAAGTATTTCAAACAGAAAGAATTAGTACAGGGGATTGTTTACACAGCTGCTGGGGAGGGATGGAAAAGAGCTGATGTAATCTAAAGATATTTTTAACTGCAGGAAGCAGCTATCAGAGATGTATGGTTTCCAGAACCTAGGAGCTAGGAGGAAGGGCCCTGTGGGGCTAGTGCTGAAGCCTCTGAAGAGGATTTGCCTTGCTGAAAGCACAGTGAATGTTTCTTCTCTGCTTTTCTCACTTTCCAGTCTCCTGACAGTGCTTTCTGCAAGAAGAGGTTAATAAGAAGCCAGCTGGCAAGAACACTGGGAAATGAAATTTACAGTGCCTCAATCCTGGTGTCATGGAGCAGAATACAGAAAGGAGCTGAAAGACACAGCTCAATGCCCTTAAATCTATGCCATAAGCGATAGGGTGAGAGATTTTAAAAGCACCAAACCTCAACTGTTTTGCTCAGAACAGGATGGGATGACTAAGGAATGCAAAAATGCATTAATATAAGAATTCTTTAATATAAGAATACCTATTCAACTTAAGAATACACCATAGCTAGCAGGGCACGGTGGCTCATGCCTATAATCCCAGCACTTTGGGAGGCCGACGCAGGCAGAACACAAGGTCAGGAGATCGAGACCATCCTGGCCAACATGGTGAAACCTCGTCTTTACTAAAAAATACAAAAATTAGCTGGGCGTGGTGGTGTGTGCCTGTAGTCCCAGCTACTTGGGAGGCTGAGGCAGAAGAATTGCATGAACCTGGGAGGCAGAGGTTGCAGTGAGCCAAGATCATGCCACTGCACTCCAGCTTGGTGCCTGGCAACAGAGCGAGACTCTGTCTCAAAAAAAAAAAAAAAAAAAAAAAGAAAAGAATATACCATAGCCTACTAAACTGTTGGCCCTGCAGATACAATTACTAAGAAAGTGACTGGACTCTTTTGACATTGTTGATGAAAAAGAGTTGAACTCTGTAAAATATTTGAAGAGATTATTTTGAGCCAAATATGAGTGAACATGGCCCGTGACACAGCCCTCAGGGGGTCCTGAGAACATGTTTCCAAGGTGATCGGGGTGCATCTTGGTTTTACACACTTCAGGGAGGCATGAGACATTAATCAAAAACATTTAAGAAATATATTGGTTTGGCCCAGAAAGATAGGACAACTCAAAGCCAGGGGGCTTTCAAGCTATAGGTGGATTTAAACATTTTCCGGTTGACAATTGGTTGAGTTTATCTAAAGACCTGGATTGACAGAAAGGAATGTTCAAGTTAAGATAAAAGATTGTGGAGACCGAAGTTCTTTTGAAGTCTTAAGGTGACTGCCCTTAGAGACAATAGATGGCAAACGTTTCCTATTCAGATCTCAGTTAATCTCTTTAGGGTTGGAAGGGTCTGGAAGAAAAAGATCTAGCTATGTTAACAGAGATTCCTTACAGATGCGAATTTTCTCCCACAAAGAAGAGCTGTGCAGGGCCATTTCAAAATATGGCAAAGAAACATGTTTTGCAGTAAAATATTTTGATTTTCTTTCTTGACTTGTAATGTTATGCCAGAGTCAGGTTGGAAAGTAAGTCACGATATATAGGGTTAAATAAAACCCATCTGATAAGAACTTAAAATTTGTAAGGCATGACTCCCCAGACCCCTTAGAATCACTTGAACCTGGGAGTCAGAGGTTGCAGTGACCAAGATAGTCCCACTGCATATAAGTTCTGGGGAAGAACTTTATTTGCTGCTGCTTGAACTGTTTCCTAGCCTTCT